CTTACAATTAAATAGACTCTAAACCAACCAATTATGTATGAGGACATGAGAAACAGCTGTTGTTACACTGAAGCTCAAACATTTCATCTCAGCTATTTAAGAGGATAAAAGAGGAAATATTTTCATTCCCATGTGATATTATCAAGACATGATAAACAGCCATGGCCTTAGTATTAATTGCATTAATTTGTAGAGAAAAGACCACTTTAATTTGGTCCAAACCAGGGAATAATTTTTATGGCATGTTCTCATTCCACAGGTTCACAAAGAATGCTTTGTCCTTTTTATTTTAAATGGTAAGCAATAATAACTTCAGGCAAAAAGCTATTTGAAGGTGGAATCCAGAAGAATTAAGTACTTCATCAGTCAGACTTTTTCATTTCCCCCCCTTGGACTTAAAAAATTACACACTACAATTTAACCCTGAAATATGTACTACCTCCTCTACACCACTGAGAAGGTAAGAATCACAAGGGAGTCAATACCACTGACATGGCTTTCCAAAGTTAGCATTTTCAACCCAAGATTTGCACTTCAGTCTATATCAAGGCACAGAAATAAAAATAAAAATCAAGGCACTTTTATTTAGGTGCCTAAATATGGACTGAATAGTGTAACTTTAGGTGCTCAATTCTGAAAATGTTAGCCTAATAATTCTGGCATCTTCAGTTAGCCAAGTAATTGTGTTTTGGTGGCATAAGCTGTGGCAGGTGTAGGTGACAACTGGGATGCTCAGCTTTATGTGAGCTCTTCGCCTACAGTCTTTCCAAGAAGCTGGACATTGCATTTTGCATGTATGTGGTGCCTGTCATCCTAGGACCTCAAAATCACACCCATTTTACAGATTGGAACACCGAGGCCCAGGGAAGCATGGCCAGGCTCTCCTCAATGCTGAGCATCCACAGCTCCTATTAACTACAGATGTAGTTAAGCAGGTCTGAAAATCAGGTTCTAAAAACCAGATTTTTAAAGATGTCTAAGTCAAGGGAAGTTGGGCAGTGAGGTACAGATCTTCAAAGAAATTTACACTTTTAACTTCCATTGAAATCACTGCAAGTTAGGTACCTAGACATTTTTAAAGATGTGGGTCCTAGGCTCTTTTGATGACTCACTGCATTTTTAGGGGCCCAGATACCTTAAAAAACCTGGTCCTAAGTGACTTGCCTCATATCACACACGTGATCTGTGGCAAAGCTGTTAATAAAAACCTGATTCCCAGCCCTGCCCTTTTATCTGAGGGCTTGGAAAGTTTCCCAGACTACTGCCAGCAGCCCAGATGAAGATGTAAAAGATTTGAAAGAATCTAATCAGTGAGGACCAACTTCAAAGGCTTACCCTCAAGTTGGCAGACCCTTATCGAGAAATAGTATCCAAAGTCCTTTGTACTTCAGTCTCTGGCAGGTAGGATCCTGACATTTTAAGATCCTAATTCCATCCTGGTTTTCTTGCTGTGTGTATGATGGAGGAGGTCAGCTACTCTGTCCTTCCCGAGTTTCCTGCCTGCTGGTAGGGGCAAGCATATTCTACTACTTTACTACTGTTAAGTTTCCGTTACCAGGTTCCTTTTCCTCCAGGGCCTGGCCAGGCTGCAGGTGGTTCCCATGCAGAAGCTGAGTGAATGTTCTTGTCAGTTTTACTGTTGCCCACAGAGTTCTGAATATTAATGATGAAATTGACGAGAGTCTCATTAATTTCATTCTGCTGCTGTTTCAGAAAGCTGAAATGAATGGGAGGTGTTGTCTGACACAGATTGCCTTCAAAATGTGAATGATAGCAATGTCTTAGCAATATCATAGACAGTTCTCTCTTAGGAGCACAGGTGTGTCTTCTTATTGTCCCTAGATCAATGGATTCCAGATCTGATTGGGATTTTGGGGGGGGCTATCATAATATATTTATAATAAGCAATAACCATAAGGGTCAGTTGCAGTGATATTTAGGGTAATTAGTACAGGTCCCAAAGTAATGTTACAATTATCTTTGCCTCATCTAATGCTCTTCATACTTAATCATTTATTGGTACTGTGACCCTTAAGATGGCCTCAGAAATTCAAATGCAATAGTTTTGCTTTAGGTCTGATCATTTCCCTTTTCTCTCAATTATTCTCTATCATGAGCAGAATTTCCTTCTTGGACTTACCAGTATCTGATTCTTAAATCCTAGTTTTAACAGCTACTGTCCTTGGCACAAATGGTAAGACTCAGGGGCACTTGGCTTCCCTTTCAGTCTTAAATTGGTCACGGGAGACTTAATTTGCAGATACTAATGGGATTCTTCATACTCTTGACAGAAGGAGCTGCTATCAACAGCCTTGGTTCATCTTTCTAAGTAGCTGACCTCTTTTCAGGGCATGGTTGGAGAGTTACATGACAGATTTACTATCTATTCTAATCTTACTCCTGTGTTATCAGGTGCTTAGCCAGAATTCTGCCTTCCAGCCCCACCTCTATTTATGCTGGTCACAAATGCTACTTCCTTTGCTTGTGGGATCCGTTCTCTTATTATTCTAAATTCTTTTCTTCAGTAGAATTGCAGCACTTAGCTTGTACATCAGACCCTCTGGCTTTTCCTCCAACAGCACTCCCCAAAATCTAATTGGTTTTAGAAAGGAATTGTCTTCTTCTTTTGGCATAGACTATAGGCAGGAGAGTCCTCTGCTCAGTTTCCTGCCCAAATCAGTTTGACTGTCATTGATGAGCTCTTCATGATCATAGGTCTGGCAGGCCCTCCACTGTCCTCTTTAACCGATGCAGGATCTTTCATCTTTGTGAATGCATACATTGTTTTAAATTCCCTTTTCTTCTCAGCTATATGCTCCTCATTGACAATATTGCAGCCATGTGAAGATGTGAGCAGTGAATGCTGCATTCAGATGGAGAGCTGTGCAGTGCATTCCCATTGAAACTAAAGCCACACAGCACTGGTTGGAGTATGTGTTTCATTAGTCTCAGATTTGGATAACTGAAGTGCCTCCAGTCTAGAAGCATGATTCAAGAAGCTCAGTGAGGATGAGGGAGGGGAACAGACCTTTTTTTTTTTTTGTTATAGAAAGGAATTGGATTCCTAGATGCTGACTACTCAAGACCCTGCACATTTGCATAGTCACACCAGGCAAAGTAGGTGTAAGCTCACCATTCTGAATAGATTGGGCTCTTAGTTATACAAGTGAATCAGTAAAGAAGTTGCTTAAGGACAGATTTTAAAAGGTATGTAGATGTCTAATGGGAATCTTGTCAAATATTTGCCACTTGAATTATGTCTCAAAATCACTGAGCAATATAACAATATTTTGCATTTAGTATGTTTCATCTGGATATTTAAAAAGCACTCGAGGTACCTAAAAGTGGGCTAAGACTCATTTTTTTACAGAAAACATGAGGGTCAGCTGTAGGTGGTGGGTATGCCTGCGTGTGCTGAAGAAGCTGTGCAGAAAGGCCCATAAGGTATATGTAAACCCTGCATATGAGCTGCATGTGGCCACAGAGGGAACCAGATACTAGATATACTGACTATCAGTGTTCCTGCCAATCTTTTCCATCCACGTGCAGAATGAATTTTTTTATGTGCATGTGTGCACTACCAGTAGAAACAAAAAACCCTAGCTCTGGGTGCTCTGCTAATCAGCCAGGCAACATTGGAAATCTCAGCTGAGCGGTCACACAAGCGAACAGCTTACAGGGAACACTGCTGAAATCCCATTTTAATTGCAAGAACACACACCATAAAAGCATTAAGCTGAATAGATGACGTTGTATGTGTAACAGATGGAATATAGTTCATGGCTTTGAGATTCACAGTGCAGGAGCTTTTCCCATTTCAGCTGCAGGAACAAACCTTACAGCCAAAGGGAAAATATATGTGAGGTAATACAGTGTTCCACCCAGTAGAGGGCAGTAGGAGAGACCTATAAACTATCCCATTTTAAAGGGGAAAGATATTCTCTTTCCCCAGTTTTCCAATTGAAATCCTGATTCCAGATTAACCTGAGGAACTCTTCTCCTCTTCCCTCTCCTGGTACCAGCTGCTCCCTCCTCTGTAGCAATAGGTCCTCTCTATGCATTTTCTATTTTTCCTCAGCAAACTACTCAGGGGGACTTTCTCGTGTATGCATTTTGCTCAGCTCCTGCATCACTGGCTTGCACTTAGCATGGGTTTGAGAGAGGTTGTTAAAAGATGAAAGGGTATGCGTGCTCTTCCTTTGCTTAATGAGCATGCAAGAGAGGATCTTGAGCCAGCTGCTGCTAAGATCCCTCCCGTGCTGCTCGGCAGACATAGCCTTGAGGATTTCTCCTGCAAAGGTGGCTCGCCCTTAACACTGTCATGCATTGTTTCAGCGGTGCCCTCCCTTGGCTCAGCTCCGGGATTTTAAGAGCCTTAGGCAAACTGGAAAGCTTCTGTCCCCCAACAGATACGCTCACTATAAGCAATTACTAAATATTGCAGCAAAGGCTGTCTTCAATGAGGGTGCTGAGAGTCATTGAACAAACCTGCAAACTCAGGATCTGAGGGGAACCGCTTCAAATCAGGGGATGCAGCAGCACATCTACTTTCAGCTCTTACCCCTGACACCCTAGACAACTCCCTCTCCAGCCTCTGGGCTGGAGCTAGTCCTGTTACTGCCTGTACTTGTGCTGGGGGCGGAAAAGCACTTGTGTGTTGCAACTAGATTTCAGTTTCCCACCCAAGAAAGCCGCTTAACATAAGGTGAGCGAGGGCCTCCTAGATTCTCCCTCCCTCATCCGTGCTATGCCAGGGAAAGGGTGGAAGGGATGACCGTGCCCCACAGATACCTGCAAGCTTCTCTGCTTTTTGGGCGACCTCTCAAACAAGCATCCCCCTACGAGGTACCCCCTCCCTGGCAACACTTTCGCCCTCCCCCAAAGCGTTGCCATTTAATATATCACTGCAACAGTGCCTGTAGCCTCCGGTTGGGGGGTTATGAATGGGTGCAACGGAAGCACCGCCCACCCCGGACGTGACGCTCAGCCAATGGGGGAGCAGGCTGCGTGGATGGATGAGGTCAGCGCTGTGGTGTCGGGGAATGGAATGTGTAAGTGTAGCATTCAGAACCGGGTAACGTTCGGAGATCGAACTCTGGAATTGGCGACGTTCGAACAGGGGCAGGCAGCCTCCTCTGTGTTTCGGCAGCTCGCATCTCATTGACTGGCTGGGGGGCGGGGGCAAGGAGGAGGAGGAGGAAGAAGGAGGAGGATCTTCACTGCTTCGGCTGGTTCCATCCCGGGGGCCATTCACAGAGATCGCGGAGAGAGGGGTAAACAGCACCACAAATCTTGGAGCTCCTGCAGAAGGGAATAAAGAGAAATGCAGGGATTTGTAAGGTTACGGCGCGAGAGCTGGAAGATGTGATAATGATAGCTGTGTGAACCGGCACTGGCTGCGAGCTGCTGCTGACTTGCTCTGGAACCGGGGGGCTTGGTTATTGCGGGAGTGTTTTGGATGAGTTGAAGTTGCTGCTGTACCTTGATCGTTTGCAACATTAGAGAGAGAGAGCGAGAGAGAGGAAGGGAATGGGGGAGGGGAGCACACTCAATCTTGCAACTGATTGAGGGGTGAAGGGGAGCTGTATTTGGTGCTTATTTCATTTTTGTGTGTATGTGTGTGCATGCAAGAGAATTCCCAGTCCTTTGCCTTGCAAGCCCGTGCTGGGCGTGAATTATTCGCCTTCGCTGTTTCTCTCTCTCTCTCTCTCTATTGTGCGAGCCAAAGATGAAAGACAGAAGGGGAGAAAGTTAAAGAAATCGCCCACATGCGCTGCATCAGTCCAAGGCTTTGGGAAAGGAATAAAGAGAAGGTGGAAGAAGAGAGTTTGAAGTCTTTGCAGGCGGGAAGATGGCGGACTGGAGCTGAAAGTGTTGATTGGCAAACTTGGGTGATCCTTGTGTTTATTTACAATCATCTTGACCCAGATAGGACACATGCAGGCCAAAAAACGCTATTTCATCCTGCTCTCAGCTGGCACTTGTCTCGTCCTTTTGCTTTACTTCGGAGGCTTGCAGTTCAGAGCAGCGAGAAACCAAAGCAGGAGAAATGGCTTGCACCACACCAGCCCGGATCACTATTGGCCCCGATTCCCGGACGCTTTGCGCCCCTTCATTCCTTGGGATCAATTGGAAAACGAGGATTACAATGTGCACATTTCCCCGAGGCAGAAGAGAGACGCCAACTCCAGCGTCTACAAAGGCAAGAAGTGCCGCATGGAGTCCTGCTTCGATTTCACCCTTTGCAAGAAAAACGGCTTCAAGGTCTATGTGTACCCGCAGCAGAAAGGGGAGAAAATCGCCGAAAGTTACCAAAACATTCTAGCAGCCATCGAGGGGTCTAGGTTTTACACTTCCGATCCGAGCCAAGCTTGCCTGTTTGTCCTGAGCTTGGATACCTTAGACAGAGACCAGTTGTCACCCCAGTACGTGCACAACCTGCGATCGAAAGTGCAAAGCCTCCACTTGTGGAACAATGGTAGAAATCATTTAATTTTTAATTTATATTCCGGCACCTGGCCCGATTACACCGAGGACGTAGGGTTTGATATTGGCCAGGCGATGCTGGCTAAAGCTAGCATCAGTACTGAAAACTTCCGACCGAATTTCGATGTTTCTATTCCGCTCTTTTCTAAGGATCATCCTAGGACAGGAGGGGAGAAGGGATTTCTAAGGTTTAACACCATCCCTCCTCTTAGGAAGTACATGCTGGTATTCAAGGGGAAAAGCTTCCTGTTGTCCTCTTGACCACCTGCAAGCATGGCAAAGACTGGCAAAAGCACAAGGATTCGCGCTGCGATAGAGACAACACCGAATATGAAAAGTAAGTGACCACTGCCCCTTCAGTGTTGCCTAAGGTTAGGCCGGCTTTTTTGCCTCACCTATTCTAGGCAGCTGTCAGCTATGTGTGCATTTTTAAATGTGCTACATGCTTTCATGTCACAGGAAAGCCATGATTTTTCTTTTCCTGCCCTGAAATTCCTTCCAGCTGTTAGTAAGTTACTTGTATATAGGCGGCCTGGGAGAGGAAGCACCCTTATTGTGGAAAATATTTGCCAAGGTATGTAAAATCCTGTGTGTCTGCCTGCATAGATAGAGCAGGAGTAGAGGTCTTGGACACACACCCTTTAGCTTTGCAACCTTAGCAAGGAGCAAAGATGCTGCTACAGGCTACTTCTAGTATCTGACTCCATCATTCATTCATCATTTTGTCTCTTCAGGGTAAACGCCCTCTTCCTTCCCAGCCCTGAAGTTAACCACCTAGGACAATGCTCAAAGAGAGCTGATGACTTGTAGAATAAATGTGTGTGTGTGTGCGTCTGCCCGGCCCCTGCCCAGTCTTGTCTTTCTCAAAGATACTTGTCCAAGCCCAGAACTAAGTCTGTGATCTATAGAGGTTGGGTGTAGTAACTTGTAGCACACAATCTTATTTTCCCTGCATCAGATACCTACATATGGCTAAAGGAGGAAAACCCCACTGATTCTAAGGTCCCTTGGTATTTTAACTCTTTCCAGACAATTTTCTGTATACTCTGTGTAACACTTTGATTACTTTTCTTCTTTTGGTGCTTTACATACTGCTGCTGTGGGCAAGTTTAACCAGGTGATGGTGGTTGGTTAGTGTGTTACACTTCTCCCCAAATATCCCTTGCAATTATGTAATATGTATATGTGGCTGCTGAAAAATCATTTTACGGGAATTACCTCTGTAGAATGGCAACACTAATGAGTCATTTTGAAACTGACGAGTTAATTTAAATGCTGACCACTGCCTTGTGTGCACTCCAAAGTAAAAATTCCATGCAAAATCCTGCATAGTCTGTTCCCATGGAACTGAAATTTTTTTTTTTAAGTAAACAGAGCAGCTTTATATTGCTGAGTTAGTACAATCTAGAGCTGCATCAGGAACTTACCAAGGCTGGAAGATTTTGCAGTCGGATAGTGAAATATTATGTGGAAGAAAAATAAACCTGGAAGAGGGTAATGAAGAATTACAGTGGTACTAATAAGGACCAAAATTTGCAACTCACTGTTAATTTCTCTTGTAGTCATTGGCCACCAAGTTTGAAATAAATTCATTAGTTAAACTATAACCCAGGAAAGCTCTGTTCTTTCTTTGAGGTGAATGTTATCCACCTAGTGCTTATCTTAAAGCACTGGGAGGAAGTGGTATGAAGCTTCAGAAATATTGGCTGGCTTTTCATTCTGTTCACTTTCTGAGCACAGAAAATTGATACATTTTTGGTGTGACTAACGTAAAAATCTGGTGTAAATTTAGACTGTAGCTCAAATCAAGATGTCTTCACATTTGACTTGTGAGATGGCATTTCCTTTAAACTGTGGATAATAACTGATGTCTTCTTTATAAAACTGTATCTCTGTGTGTAAAACTAAATGCCTGTAGCTTTTAGGTATTTCAGGTTTATGCTGTTTTAATTGGAGAGACTACATCTTCTCATGTCTTTTAGCCACAATGTTAAATTCTGCAGAATTCACTGTGGCTTATGGTTTTATAAGATTCTTTAAACACAAAGAAATACAGACAGAGGTTTGACTATTGGGAACTTGAATTATGTGGAAACTTGAACTTGTATTATTTACAATGTCTGTGCAGGCCAATTTTTCTATGGAATGTACAACACACACAAAACCCACACCTGGTATGTAATGTCTTTAATGTCTAGTGTCTTTTCATAAGACGCATAGGATCCCCACTAGCTCATTTCACTGTCAAGTGCAGCCCTATCTAGGGTAGAGTGCAATAACTGTTTAACATTACACAGTAATGCTACACAATAGTTTGACAGGATGCAGAGATAATCATAGTAATTTAAGATTTCAGGAGGGAAATGTAGGTGGGCTGAATGTAGTTGTTTAATTGGAATTGTGGTCAGAACACCCCTGTGAACTACCACAAATGGTTAAGACTTTTAACTTACCTGAAGAATCTGCAAGAGCATATTGCTGTCCTCTAGTACAATGCTGAAGCATTGATTCAGTGCTGATTTATAGCAAAGTGTGCCACCTACTGAATACCACTTCCTGTAGCGTTCTGAGTTTTGCTTTCCTCCCATTCAAATACCGATCATCAATTTATGAAATATGACAAGGTCGCATCCTGAGGGAATTACGACTACAGGCAGCCAGTAGTATTTCTTGCATGTGCCATATCTATGTAAATGCTGTACCAGGTAGTACTCTGTTAGCTGTAACTGAACCTGCACCTGAGAGAGATCACATTGCACAAGTCTATACCAGTTAAAGAAGAAATGCCTTATAATGATTTTAAAACTAGGCCTATACTAGATTTAAATGCACATTCACATGACTCAGAGGTCAGACAGAGCTGCTTTTGTTCTGCAGTTTTTGGATTAAATTAAGCAACATGTCCTCGTGGATTTAAAATAATGTGCATTCTCCAAGAATTGTGTATCAGAAATGGATAAGGAGTTGAACAAATCAAATATTTCACTCTGTCAGTTTCTGTGCCACTCTTTCTTTAATTTGCGGTGGCATTTATACTTACTTGTTTCTGTGCTCGTGTTTTGTCACATGATCCCCTTCATATAGTGAACTGGCCCAGAAATATAGATCAATGTAAGGTGCATCATGGACTTAGCTGTAAGGAGAATCTCTGTCAAGCCAAATAAATTTGATGATGGGACTTAAACTCTTGATGATGTCATATCAACAGAGTAAAGTTATGACTTACGTGTATTTCCAATGTAAAATAACTCTGTTTAAAAAAATAATAATAATAATATTGACATTATTTGCAATGAAATTCTACCTGAATTAAATGTTTAGTGCCTGGTAAAAGCAGGACTTACATCTCCATACAATACCGTTTCTCTCATTTCTCTTCCTCCTGTTTTCCCCCAAGAAATAAGAAAAGTCAATTAATGATTTCTCTACTTCTGTGAAATGGAAAGTGCAGCTTACTCCACTGAGAAGGGAACATGTTTGGCTTAGTCTTCATAAGTTCTATTAAGAGAGCCATCTGTATGTTAGAGCTAATTAATTTTCATCAGAGTTATGCATTTCAGGAGATAAAGCTGATGCAGACTAAAATGAATTGCATTATTATGATTAGACTATTGCAAACAGGATTTTTAGAAATGCTTTATGTATTCTGGCCCCCAAATCTCTCCATTAGGGTTAGATAGTCTATCATAAGAACCAATCTTTTTTGGAAAAAAAAATCCTTTTCAGTATCGTTTTTTTTTTTTTATTTAGATTGATAAATTCCACTTTTGGAAATGGATAGATGCTTACATTGAAAAGAAGGAATGCCAGGTTTGTTGAAGGTTAAAGAGAGGCAATGTAAAGGTGGACAAACGCAAAATTCAGAGGTAGATTTAATGAATGTCAAATTACTTTTTGAACTGTAACATTACAGATTAACATTGATGCTGTCAGGTAATAGAATAAAAATGCAAGCTACAGGGCTGCCCTAATGTCGCAAGAAGATGTCATGATATTTTCCAAAAGTTGAACGCTTTCTAAGGTGGAAGTAGCAATTTATGTAGTTCCTCCTTTTTCTTTTCAACTCTGGATAGCCCTGACCTCCCATCTTTCAGAACATGGAGAAAGTGACAGTAATGGTAGTCGCTTGTTCAGTGACCTCTGGATCAGGCCCTAAAGTCAATGGGAGGCTTTTTCACTGACTTCATTGGGATCAGGCCCTTCATCCTCCACCAACGGTAAAAAGGATTAGATCTGTCTATGTGGAATTGCTGAAATCAGTTCTGGAAACTTCATCAGTGGAAAAAATGCATATAGTAGCTATGAGAGAGATACTAAATGGTGTGATCTTGGTTGTTGTAACCTCTATGAACTGAGCAAAGCATAAGCAGAGGGAGACATTATTCAAATCTGTCCATCTGCCAGTGCCCAAATACCAGAATACCTTGCCTGGCCAAAACCCAAAATAAGGGACACACAGAAGTGTTTCATGCAGGGAATGGAAAATGATGTGCGATCAGTATGGAACGTAGACTACTCCGAGCCTGAAATGAGGCACCCACCTGAGCACTCTCCTTATTCATACATGGAATATAGGCTCAACATATCAAAATCTCACTAGACACCTGCATATGCAGCTATAAATATTGTGGCATCTCGGTAGACAGCACCAACCTTGCTGCATGCTTATGAAAGCTGAATGTATCTATACAAAATTCCATTCATTCTTAGTATACCACATGTATCTTGCAGATAGACATATATTATCCTGAAAGACTCATTGTCTAACCCCAGCTGCATTTTTATGGATACTCATGCGAAAGTTGTAATGAAGCATAACAAAGAGCAAAATGGGAAAAATGAAATTTAACTTGGTAGTGTCTTTTCTTACCTGCCAATAATAGAGTTAAGGTTTTCTGTTAGAATTAGTTCTTTTCTGAATTCCTGGGCTGTTTGGATATCCTTATAGCTTTGAGGCTCCCTTGTGAGAGATAAAGTTAGAACGTGGCAGGCAAATAGAGGAGCTGAACTTCAAATATGTTGTGTTAAATTAAAAATCTCTCTCTCTCTCTTAGTTTGTATATATTCTCATACTGATTTGACATCTTTTAAAAACATCTTATTTACAAGCTTTTTCAGTTCACCTTTTAATCTATTAGGAATCAGTAAAAAATCCTGTAGTCCAGCATAGACATGTATGACAGTCTGACTGGCTGGCATATAGGGCCAAATTCTGAGACTGTTTGAAACTACTGATCTCAATAGGACCAGAGTTGACCGTTGGATTTGATACAACCAGTTGGCTTTTTCTCCAAACTGTAGCTTTGGAAAAGTTCAAAAACCACTGACTGATCCTGC